GCTTGTGACTGACTTGCACGAGATCAGAGGAGAGCATCTGATCCGAGAACGATTCTCATAATTAGAGTGTGATGTGTCTCGATCCAAAGAATCTTTTATGAAATGCTTTGAGGAGCCTGTCGATGTAGGCCATGTTTTTCAGTTCAACTTAGCAGATAATGTGTTTGCTGATAGCTGAAATGTTGAAATCCTGCAGTGCAAATATTTTTTTGGGCCTATATTTAGTGTCATGTGACAGATTTCCCTCACAGGAGATGGAGGTATAGTTAGGTATACACCGAGCAGGCATAACGTTATGACCACCTCCTTGTTTCTACGCTCACTGTCTATTTTATCAGCTCCACTTACTATATAGGTGCACTTTGTAGTTCTACAGTTACAGACTGTAGTCCATCTGTTTCTCTGCATACTTTGTTAGCGCCCTTTTACCCTGTTCTTCAGTGGTCAGGACCCCCATGGACCCTCACAGAGTAGGTTCTATTTGGGTGGTGGATCATTCTCAGCACTGCAGTAACGCTGACGTGGTGGTGGTGTGTAAGTGTGTGTTGTGCTGGTACGAGTGGATCAGACACAGCAGTGCTGCTGGGGTTTGTAAACACTGTGTCCAGTCACTGTCTACTCTATTAGACACTCCTACCTTGTCGGTCCACCTTGTAGATGTAAAGTCAGAGACGATAGCTCATCTCTTGCTGTACAGTATGCCCTAATCATCCTCTAGTCCTTCATTGGTGGTCAAAGGACGCTGCCCACAGGACGCTGTTGGCTGGATATTTTTGGTTGGTGGACTATTCTCAGTCCAGCAGTGACACTGAGGTGTTTAAAGACTCCAGCAGCACTGCTGTGTCTGATCCACTCAGACCAGCGCAACACACACAAACACACCACCACCACATCAGTGTTACTGCAGTGCTGAGAATGATCCACCACCCAAATACTACCTGCTCTGTGAGGGTCCATGGGGTCCTGACCACTGAAGAACAGGGTAAAAGGGGGTTAACAAAGTATGCAGAGAAACAGATGGACTACAGTCTGTAACTGTAGAACTACAAAGTGCACCTATATAGTAAGTGGAGCTGATAAAATGGACAATGAGCGTAGAAACAAGAAGGTGGTCATAATGTTATGCCTGATCGGTCTATAGAAGGAGACAGGAGCATTTTTAAAAGCAATGCTACCAATTTTTAGCACTTACAAAGAGAAACGTCCAAAAACGTGCTCCAACAGCTCTACAAGGCACAGAATCGGGAGCTCTCTTGTCACAGTAGAGACGGGGAAAAAAATGCTAAATAAAATTAAACAAACTAAATTTCCTTAATAGTTGATTATGCAGAAGTCAGGAAAACCAAAGATACACAAGCTGCAACATGCATGAAATCAGAGAAAGAAACATGTTAAATACAACTTTTTTTTTAGTTGAAAAACCAAAAGCAACTTTTTTTTGGTTAAGGAAAGGACATAAAACATTCCCATAACTAAAGGTTTGTTTGACTGGAACGAGCTGCTTGGCAGCAAACATCGCAAACAGAAAGAGAATGGAAACGTTTCTAATGTTAATGTTATTAGCTCAGAACTTGTTTTGCATGTTTAACCTCCTACTCTTGAAGCAGGTTCATAGTCCTTCTGTATTTCTACTGAAATTTATGTTGACGTTTCCACCCAGGTGGATTATTTACTGCCACTGTTGGAAGAAGCAACTATCAGCAGCCATAGTATAATATTGACCTACCTCAAGAGCATGACACTGAACATTTCCTAGACAGAGATTAAGACTAGTCCTGGACTATATCTCCCTTTTAATGGACAATCTGGGGCTGAACAATTAATCTGTTTTATAATGAAATAGCAATGAGTGCAATTTTGTAAACCGCAAGAGCTGCAGTTTTAATTTTACCCTACATAACTCAGGATGGTCTGTCAGTCTGGCACACCACATTCAGCGTTCCATCCTCGATCCTTCAATTCTCACTTCTTGAGGAAAAAACAGCCTGGAGCATATGTACACCGATCAGGCATAACATTATGACCACCTCCTTGTTTCTACGCTCATTGTCCATTTTATCAGCTCCACTTACTATATAGGTGCACTTTGTAGTTCTACAGTTACAGACTGTAGTCCATCTGTTTCTCTGTGTACTTTTTTAGCCCCCCTTTTACCCTGTTCTTCAGTGGTCAGGACCCCCATGGACGCTCACAGAGCAGGTACTATTTCGGTGGTGCATCATTCTCAGCACTGCAGTAACACTGACGTGGTGGTGGTGGTGTGTTAGTGTGTGTTGTGCTGGTCTGAGTGGATCAGACACAGCAGTGCTGCTGGAGTTTTTAAACACCTCAGTGTCACTGCTGGACTAAGAATAGTCCACCAACCAAAAATATCCAGCCAACAGCGTCCTGTGGGCAGCGTCCTGTGACCACTGATGAAGGACTAGAGGATGACCAACACAAACTGAGCAGCAGCAGATGAGCTATCGTCTCTGACTTTACATCTACAAGGTGGACTGACAAGGTAGAAGTGTCTAATAGAGTGGACAGTGAGTGGACACAGTGTTTAAATGTTAAACATGGAAAATGTTAACATTTAAATCGCAATATTGGCCATAAAAATTGCGATTAGATATTTTCTAATTCACTTTAAGCCTGAGGACAATCCCCATTCAGATTGCTGTGTTGTCCAGAACTAGACTAAATCCCTAAAACAAAACAAAACAAAACAAAAAATCTCTCTGTATTCTGATTTTTAAACAGTGAGATGGTTGGCTGGAAGATTGTTGCTCTTATAGCAGTCAAGAAGGAACAAACCAAAACATTTGCAGATAATCATAAAGTAAATGACTTCCTGAGAGCCTGAATACTTAAGCAAATCATCATCATCATCATCATCATCATCATCGTTAACCGCTTAGTCCAGCTAGGGTCGCGGTACTTAAGCAAATAATGATGGAATATTTACCAACATGGCACAGGACGGATATCACTTTGCGTTATTTCTACAGTACAATTACCTGTAGCTAAAAGACTTCATAGGCATGACATTGTGCAGCCTGTAAAACGTTACTGACATGATGGATTTGGATGAGACTAAAAATCAGAGACACTGAAGGAGGATTCCACTAATTTTCCTACATTTCTGTATAAGATGTAAACAAAGTCATTCAGTGTGGTCAATCAGAGTTATTCACAGTGGTGGTCATAGGAACCAGACGTCTGAAGAGTTGACTCTAAAAGCTACACCACAAAAAGTTATTTAATGACCGCACTGCCTGATGCCTGAGATATTGGCTTGCTTTGACATATTTTTAAAATATATTCATGGTGAAGAAGTACATGCAGGATGTTGTGAGGCAAAGAAACTTAATTTTTCAGATTTATCACTATTTTACCATCATCAACATTACATATAAAACTCAGAAGACTCGTGAAGCTTCACTGGTGGTTCTGGATAGTAAATAAAATGGCTATATTTGTGTCTAAACGTTGTGACTCCTGGTTCCCATCACCACCACTGTAAATACATAAGAGTTGGTAAGTTTCTCTACAACGAACCACTTCATTTCAAACTATCCTGAATGACGATAGACTTATACAGAAATTTTGACCAATCGGTGCAATTCCCCTCTAAATTACCCCACCTCCTCACCTAAAACTTATCCTGTACAAAGAGTGCTTTATAGATCATCAGCACTGAGACATGAATGCTCTCCATCCACTCACAGTCAGGGCACGTATACACAGACAGACACAATCTTATCTCCGAAGGTGTCGGCTTTCACTCGTTCCACTGATCTGAAGTTAGCTGGGTCTGCCTGGGAGATTCCCTCAGCACAATCAAACAATGAAAGAGTGAGACATGGTCAGAGCAGGGTAGCCATGTGACACACTGGCAGCCCCCCTCCCACCCTGCTCTTAACAAAGACTCGGGCTCAGCAGACTCTCAATCTGACCTCATCATCTAAATGAGCTCTTTCAGTTAATTACTCAACATCTCTCTTGCCCAGTGGGCCTGAGTCACTGTGGACAGAGCTTGTGGCAAAAGCAAGCCAAAGAGACTCCGGCAGTCTGTCATCATGTTTAAAGGACACAGAGAGTGGACAGTAACCCTGCCATAAGTAGGCTGACAGATGAGAAAGAACAAAGAGTGAAAAAAGGAACATAAGGAGTTTTTAAGCACAATAAGCTTTAAGAGATGCTCTTTAACTAGCAATGTTGAAATTTTATTCCCTAAAGAGTAAAAACTTATTCAGTCACTCAGGCATATTGTGACAACTTTCCCGTTTATCAGCACACACTGCTAAGTCATTAATATAAGGATACTGCGCAGAATCTGGTTTGAAGGAGAATTCCACCATTTTTTCAAAAGTTTTTTACAGTGGTGGTGATAGGAACCAGACGTCTGAAGAGTTTTATGTCTCTAAAAAGCTCCCTCACAGAGAGTTAATACATGAAATGGGTATGAATACACTGCCTGATGTGGTTTTGGTATGACACATTTTTTAAATGCATTCATGGTAGAGAGATACATGCAGATTTACCAATATCCTTTATCACTATCACATAAAAACATGATGGTTTTTCATCGGCGGTTTTGGACAGTAAGTAAAATGGCTATATTTGCACTGAAAACAGTGTGACATCTGGTTCCTATTACCACCACTGTAGCAGAATCTGAGGCAGTTTCTCAACAATTAACATTTTTTTCCTTCTCAATGATCTAATTATGCAGAATCTTTTAAAAAATTGGTGGAATTCCCCTCCAACATGCTGTCACACCATGGGCTAATTATTAACCCCTCCTTAGGCTGAATCAGGCGAGTTGTAAAAGCAGAGAACCTACAAAACTATGCAGTGCAGAGAGACTCCTGGACTACAGTACTGTAGTGAAGCATGTTGTGCAGATGGCTGACCTTTGCCATTCTTTCTCAACCCACTCAGCAAACCCCGGCCAGGCTGCCAAGTTTCACCGCAACACTTACAAGCAGAGCACATCGGGGAGAGTCATCACTTACCAAGGTCTCCATGGTAACTGTTGTCATGGGGGCCCCTGAGGTTGGAGGGGGCGGAGTCTCCATCTCCGTGTGGCCAGATCTGTCCGGTTTTGCGGACGCCCACGATGGTAGCCTCGGAGACCACCACGTGCTGCTGCTGCCTGTGCCTTTTCTGGGACTGCGGAGTTGGGGGGCTGCTGCTGTCCAGCGAGTGCTGCGAGTTCTGCGAGGGCGAGCGGCTCTTCTCCCGGAAGGGGCGTCGGAAGGCCGCCGTGGGGCTGGGCGACACGTGGCTGGACGACTGGCCCGACGAGAAGTCCTCCTCGCTGGATGTGAGGTTCTCGTTGGAGCTGCAGTCAGGCGTGTAGCCGCCACCTCCTCCGCCCCCTATGTCCTCCAAACTCCCAGGAGAGTAGGACCGCCGTGGCCAGGTGAGGTGAAGGTCATCATTACCTCCTCCATGCTCACGCATCGTCACCCTGCCATCTCCACCATCAGCAGGTATGCCTCCGACGTAAACGGTGCTGTAGGGCTGGAAGTCCGATGGCTGCCACGGCGGAGGCGGAGGCTTGTTTCCATTGGGCCGACCTGCACCGTCTCGGCTGGACCGCGGGTTGGGTTCTCCGTCTTCACACTCTGCATCATAGCCACAAGTGCTCTCGCTGGAGCGCCCCCTGTAGACCGGCCTGGCCCGCAGCTCGCCGGCCACCGTGGCCAGGTTGCCCGGTAGTGAGTGGAGGGACCTCTTGCGCTCCATCTGCATGGCCTGCGTACCCAGGGAGCTGATCTTTTCCGAAACCTCGCGGTCGTTGACTCGCACCAGGCCCCTCTCGTGATGGAACTCCACATTGGTGTAGAAAGGCTGCTTCTCCTGGGCTGCCTTGCCGTCCCCGGCCGAGTGTGAGTTGGCCCGCTTGATCCTCTCGAAGTTGGAGCGCAGCGCGGCCACCCCGAGTCCCATGCCTGGCTTGTCTTTGGGATTCGGGTCTGAGGGGAGCTCCTTTTCAGGAGGAGGATGGGGCCTGCGTGGGGAGACCCCTCCCCTCTGCTTGGATGGGGAAAGCCCATCTGTCTCACTCCCCTGCCCTGGCTGGTGGTGCTCAAAGGCTGATTGTAGCTCCAGCCCGTCCCCATGCGAGGCAGACTTCCTGGCTGGCGGAGGCCGCGGTTTGACCCTGGCCTCTCCTCCTACAGGCTGGAACCTGCTGCGCTCCCCTTGTCCAGGCTCCTGAGCGTGTGAATGCTGGGGGTGCTGGGGGTCAGGCCCACCTCCCGCCTGTGGATCCCCTCCTTCGTTCATCTGCGCCTTCCTGAAGCCCCAGCGCTGCCGGTCATAACTCTTCCTCTCTTTGGCCAGCAGCGTCTGGAGGTAGATCATCCGGAAGCGCTCTTTGTTCACCTCCATCTCCAGCCTCCGGATGGACGCTTTGCACTTCTCCAGCTCCTGCTCGATGCCTCCCACCGACCTCAGCTCCATCTTCGGAGGCTCCGACTCCGGAAACTGCGCCTTCCAGGCCTCGATGAAACCTACAGGCTCCACCATCGTTGACATTAAAGTCTAGTTCTAAGAGGGTTTCAAGTAACGACAGCCAAGTGGGCTTTTCTCAAGTCAACCTGAACGTGCCTAAAGTGTCAGAAACTCAACAGTCAGAGCTCAGAACAAGGGATAACCACGTACGTGTACATACCACTCTTGGCTCAAGGTCCTCAGGAGTGTGGTCCTCTTGTCTTAAATGACCATCAGCGACCATACCGGACAGAAACAACGAGACAGCTCGGGCTCTCCTCGCTTGCATCATCCCTACTCACAGATCTCAGACCCTCAGCACAATGACAGCATCTGCACACCTCCAGAGCGACCACGGAGAGGAAAGAACGCACAAAGAACTCCTCCTGGTCTAACCGGAGAGCGCCAGCCCAGCGACCGCCACTCACTGAAACCTCTGATGGGCAGTTGGTCCCGTTGTCCTGGCCTCATTCATGATGCGCCATCATCTGCTTCTCCATCATGATCTCCGGTCCCCCTCTATTGTACTGACGTCTGCGGAGAATGCAATGAAACAAAACAGCGCTCCGGCAGAGAGAAAAGAAAAGAGGACAAAAAAAACCTGCGCTCCTCTAAGAGAGACTCGCCGCTCCTCCAGAGATCCGGGATTCTGTGAAAACCCCTTGGACGTTTTATCCCATTTCTGCAGCTGTTAATTAGCGGAGGAGAGGAGCGCTGCAGCCTGCGCGTCCGCTGGACAACCGACAGAGCCACTGTCTGAGCAGGGAGGAGCTTAGGCAGGAAAGGGAGGGTCCACTCCGTATGACTGACACCAGTGAGCTGGAATGACGACCCCTTCCAGCCTCACAGCATTACAGCATCATTCCTGATTCCGTAGTCTTTTCTTTAACGGTCTGTTTACTTTTTATTTCTTATTTATTTGGTGACTTGTTTGTGTTTATCTTGCATCCATTTACATATTTACTTAGTGATGCATGTTGGAATTGCTCTGAATGATTTCATTCATAATGATAATAACAATAATAAAAGCATCAGATCTACGTCATCATCATTCAGACTGTTTTTATTCATGCAGTGTATTAAATTGTTTTTAATCTGTAATGTAAAATAATGTTTTTTCTTTCGTCAATAAGCAGCTGAAGCAAACAAAGGCAGCAGAATACTCTCGTCTGACACTAAATATGTTAAAACAGGGTAAATTAAACCTCTTTATAGATTATATATACTGTTAATCTACTATAACTGACTTGTAATGTTATTGTCTTTGTTTTGTTATATGTATCATAACTTTAAGCACTACTGAAAGTGACTTTGGGAAAAAATACTGATGAAAATAATTAGAATATTTCTTCACTGTACTGTGGTGATATATGTGGGATGATACACAACACTACTGTGCACAAGCTGTCTAAATTGAGCAGTTTTACATTGGAACTGGCTTCTAATTTACAATGCTTAATGCTTAGTCTTTGTCGCCCTCTTGCGGCAGGTTATAGCAATCACACAGCTGAAAGATCAGAGTCATAAACCTCTTTGTTCACATTTTAAGGCAGTTTGGTTTGGACAGCTCTTCCTTTTCCCCTTTGTCTTTCAAGATGACAGCTGATCTGGAGGGCTGCAGCTCAATTACACTACAGCAAAGGCTTTAATCAGAAGACTAGAGGATTCAATGCAACAGTTTCATTAGGAAACGCTGAGTCGTGTACCAAAAGTATGACACCACGTCCAAGTAATTCAGCAACAGGCTTTCAGCTGAGCACAAAGCTTGTATAATCTTAATAGGCAATAGAATGCCTAATAATAATAACAATCTTATTGTTATGTATTATTATATATTAATATTATTGTTACATCCATGTGCAATGCCAAGCGTCGGCTAGAGGGGTATAAAGCCCCCCAGCGTTGGCCCGTGGAGCAGTGGAACCATGTTCTTGGGAGTGATGGGAGCTCCATCCAATACCTTTGGGATGAGTTGGAGTGATCCAGAACTGACCATCCAACATCAGTATCTGATCACACTAACGCTCTTGGGGCTGAATACAATCAAATCCTCACAGCAATGTTCCAACATCTAGTGTAAAGTCTTAGTAGAGACTTCAGAAGAAACGCTGGATGAACAGGTGTCTCCAAACTAAAAACTAAAAACTCTGAATGGGTATTTATGCCAACTACACAGTCACTCAGTAACAATGATGTAAAACATGGATTTTGTGTCAGTAAAATCAAACTGGTGAGTTTATTTGTAAAATGATGTTCATGTCATAGCATTGAGCAGCAATGTACACAGCAAATTACTATAAATATAGATAAAATTGTTTGGCTACTTACAACTGAAGGCATGCATTGTAACATATATTATACATATATATACCGTATATAAAACTATGACATTTTACACCGTTTAGAAAGAAAACCAAAATCTTACAATCTCTCCTTGCAAATCAGCATTTTGTCATGGTAGATCTTTTTGTCTTCTTCATGCAAAGTAGAGGACCCTAACCTCACACAGCACACACACACATTCACACGCTGATCAGCAGTCTCCTCCTGCTCCTACGGTGCCACCAGCAGCCACTGTAGTCCATTCAGTGTCCATCACACCCAGCCAAGCCTTCTATTATTAATAATAATATTGTTTTTCTTTTAAAACATTTGTTCCATCAGTGCAAGGACTGCTTGTCTTCCCTGGTCTGCACATGGATCATGCAGCGTATGATATGGAGAAGGGAATGCCACTCAAAAACACATGCACGAGAAGAAGCCTGCGGTTTTCCCCAGAACAAGCTGAAGGGAGAGGGGCACATCTTACAAGGCGCAAGCTGTAGAGAGAAAAGCAGAGAGGGGGAGAAAACATGAGCAAAAGACAGATGCAAGCCATTAATGCGGTTACAGTAAGAGTTAGGAACAGCTATGGAACCGAGTGGGTAATGTGTGGCCTCCACACAGCAAACTGGGGTTCGATTCCCCACCCGGGCATCAAAGAAGCCCAATCCCATTTCACCCCTTACCCCTCTATTTTGTATGTTCACACCTAGGGGTAGGGTGTCCCGATTTATGTTGAGATAGAGGGGTAGGGCGAAGCATTAGAGCCCCATGGCCCTCCAAACGGAGCGTTACGAGAAAAAAGAAAAACTAGCAAGGCGGCACAAGCGACCAAAGAAACCCACAAATGTGAGTATTTTCTCTTTTAAAAAATTACAATAACCATTGTATTATTAGTTTAATGTCATTTCAATGCATTATGGTCCTTTTCTTTCTTCTTTGAAGGCATATGATGCCCTAAATGTAACTAAAGCCCAGCAGTGAGGAGCTGAACTTTACCCTCCTCTGCTGTCACTCCAGACTGGCAGGGTCGCCTACAGAGCAGCGCTAGTAGCTGCTCTAGTAATGCTCTTTTTATTTGAGGGTCCCATCTCATAGGGGAAGATTTCAACCTCTACCCCTTGTAACTCAGTTCCAAGGGTAAGGTGACACTGGAAAACGGGGTAGAGATTAAAATAAGGAATGGGACTGGGCCTTAGAGTCCCTGTCTAGGCCTTCCAACACTACATTTGCCTTCCTAGTGTTGGTACAGCGAAACTGCAGAGGTCTTCAAATCGGAACCTTTGTTGTTCTGGGTTCTTTACTCAGTAGTCAAGTTTCCAAAATCCAATAGAAAACCAAAGTTTCCTCACTTTTTCTTTCTAAAATAGAGTCTGATGTTCATAAACATGCATACAGTCCACATATGGAAACTAAGCTGCAAAAACAGCAGCTACAGCGGTTCAGCCCCGCCCACTCACACTGAAGTTATGAGGAGTGTTTCAACTTGGGCTGCTTTCTGAATGAGGCACAGTACAGGGCAATCAAAACAGAGGTAATTTACATATATCAGTCTTAAAGGCACAGTAACAAAAACTGTCTATCACTCGATTAATCAGTTGGTCTCATCAGCTGATCATGCACGTTTCCGCTTTGTTGAAATGAAAACAAGGCAGTAGGGGCTGAAATTAGGGGACAGCCAATTTTGGGGGGGAAGTCATGTTGGCTAGTGATGGCTATGACACCAGGTGACCAATCAGTTACACAAACTCATTTAAGTTCATTTAAATACCAGCAATTACAAAATACAGGATCCGAAAACAGATTCAAGCTTTGGATTTTGGATTTGAAGACCTCTGCTGTAGTGCATAATACCAAAGAATGTGAAGAGAGAACTGTCACTCAATAACATCTTTGTCAGTTGTTAGAAAGTCCAAAATTTGTGCAATCAGCTGGTAAATGCTTAATTAGAGTTGAGCGATATGGCAAAAATATCACAATATAAGTGACGTGATATCACAATACTTCAAGAAGTTTTCACGACATACAATAAATCACAATATTTATTTTGCTGACATGGTAAGTTGGAACAGACGAAGTAGTGCCACGTTTAAAAAAATACTATCAAAGACTATGAATGCAATCATTAATATTGAACATTTTACACACTGTGCTGCGCTAAATCCAATTAAACAGGACTAACTATGCTCTCTTTTCAATCAAACATGCAGTGAAAAGCGTTAAGATCGGGAGACAGATTGGAAAGACAACAGTCATTAAAAAAAAGAATGAGTGAGGAATGTACTATGTGGCTTTGACCTGACTTTTCAACATCCTGACCAAAGCCCAGATGGAAATTATAAACTCTTGATGGCATCCTGTAACACGGCCAGAAGAAATTTTACGAGAGCCACTTAAGAGTCCAATGGCCATAAAGAAGGCTGCTCAGGAGGTGCACAACGTCCAAAAGCATGCAGACACCTCTGATCAGAGAATCAAAGTCAACAGCTCGTACAGTCTCCAAAGAAAAACACTGACCAAGAGAATGGGACACACGGGCCTAAGGTCACCATGCCCAGGGCCAAGCTCCTGCTGGAGGCCCCGCTTTGGCCTGTGATGCAGTGACATCGTTCTTTCAAACAATAGAGCTCCAAAACCTTTGGAGTGACACTTGTGATCCAAAACATCTGTACCTGACCTCATTAGTGCTCTTGTGGCTGAACGCAACCAAAATCTTACAGCAATGTCCCAACATCTAGTGTAAAGCCTTCCCAGAAGAGTAGAGCCCGTTACTGCTGCAAAGAAGGGAAAACTCCCTATTAATACCCTTCATTTCAGAAGAAGGCAGGTGTCTACAAACTTTTGGACAAACAGGTGTAACTGCCTTTGGTCGCCTTATTAAAGGGAACATTAAAACATTTCTGGGTAATTAAACTGTAGAGCTGCAAACAAAGTCAGTCAGAGTGGTTTGGGGTTAAATGCTCCATTCTAGAGGACCGTATTCAGTTCACAGTGGTGGAGTAATTAGTTGGTGTGTGGCTGAACTAAATGGCTGATGGGTTTAGTCGGTATAGTGTAGTGGGTAAAACCTCTGCCTTTTACGCTGTAGATTGGGGTTCAATCACCCATCCGGGCAAACACCCCTACACTATATCAATAGGAGTCCTCGGGCAAGACTCCTAACACTACCTATGCCTACCTGCGTAAAATGATCAAATTGTAAGTCGCTCTGGATAAGAGCGTCTGCCAAACGCTGTAAATGTTTATAGTATTTTGATATGAAGGTTTTGACCTAAAAAACCCACTTCATTCATATTCAGATTTTCCACTATTTTACCATCAGTATCATTACATACAAAAACTCTGAAGACATGTAGGTTCGTTGCTCATTTCTCATGGTAAATAAATGGCTATATTTGTGCTGTAGAGACTGCGACGCCTGGTTCCCATCACCACCGCTGTAAGAAAATCAGACTCAATAAGTCTACAATGCGCCATTTCACATCAAACCACTGTGAACCGCTTACAGCTCAACAACCTACTCATACAGACCTTTTGAAAAAAAAAAAAATCAGTGAAATGTGTTTCTTGTAGTGATACCTCTATGCAGGATCTACAGTGAGGCACTGTTTAAGCAGGAAACCATCATTTACAGCAAGTGGACATGTTTGCAATAAAGGTGAGTCCCAAAGAAAATCACTGTTTGGCTTTTGGTCGTGTTAATTCATGCAGAAATTCTTAGAATGCACCAAGTCTCATACATTAGAGAAGACGTTCAAGCTCATTAAAACAGAACCCGTGTAGCTTAGCATTAGCAGCGCGAGGAATGTGTGGAGGAATGTTAGTGATACTTACTCGGTTAAGGGAAGGCCCGTTTGAAGGCATAGAGAGGGAAAAGCACAGAGTTGTGTTAGATACCAACACTGGCAGTGCCATTCACCTGGCACAACAACATGCTTCACCTGGCATCTAAGTACAGCTTTTAGCAAGCGAGGATTAGGCTGATGACTGATATAGCTTTTTTTGTCTATAGTAGAAAATGTACATTGATACCGTTGTGCTGTGTACAGACAGACAGGCCCCTGCAGTAGCACAGGCTTGAGGAAGCTCTTCCGCTTGTGCTCGCCTGCTTGTTCGTCAACTTTATGTACATTAATTTCTGTATTCAAGTATATTTGCTCCTGAAACTCTACATATATCCTCTTAAAAAAAGAAATCACATTACCATAAAATGAAGAGACACGCAAATGTTTTTAATTCAAATGGTCCATGAGAGTGTATTTCTTTTGTTGAAGTAGAAAAACAAAAAAAGTGAAACATTTTGGTTTTGCATCATAAAATTCATGTCCTAAATGCAAATACTCAAACCTATCGTGTTAACCTCTCGTCTCCAGCCCTGATCCGCTGATGGTAACATTTACATCCGCGTGTCACCCACCCCACCCTGCCTCAAAAAATATTCTAAATTAAGTTAATACAAGTCAATTATAAAATATAAAGGAAAAGAAAAATCCTTAAAAAGTAAATCAGGGGACATGATGATGATTTGATTTCTTTTTCTGCACAAGCCAATAGGGGCACACCTCAACGCAATAACATCATACTGTGTAAAGCTAAGTGGGGGGGGTGCAACCAGAGAGAAACTAATCAGACTGTATTGAGGTAGCTGTGCTCTGCCTAGTGCAGAAAAACTGGCTTTACTAATTTGTTTACGGTAATAAGGAACACCAAGGTTGTTATTGTACAAAGGGGAAGACAGACAAATCATGAATGAAACCCACACGTAACGCATGCAAGATACAGAACATGCAGCTCTCGGGATCTGATTTAGTCGATGCATTCGAACATTCGCTCCCACCCCCTCGGCCCATGCTCCTGCCCCAGTCCACTCTTGTCCACTGGCTCTGAAAGAGTTTAACATTCAAACTGAAGACAATGGTAAACGTAAGTAAACGACTCTTTCTAGATCTTTCTGGCTACGTTTAGGCAGCTGTCTGGGATGCTCGGCCTGTTCACTTCCATGGCTTTTCCAACAGATTTGTGCGTTTAGACAAGCTACCTGATGGTGGTAGGTTGCAGACATGCATACAAATGTAGTCAAATTAGTTCCAATCCGGACTTCGTACATTATGGCTTTAAGGAAATTCTCTGATATGCATCGAACCTGGTTGGGGGGGGTTGGGGCAGAAAAAGAAATCTGATCTAAACGGCTGCCTAGACGTAGCCTGCATGTTGCTCCAGCTCTCTCCGACCGACTGAGCATTCAATATAGGACCACAGACACGACTTGTATAAAATAGTGTTCAATCTCTGTACACAAAATCAGAGCTTTTCTTCATGCACTCAATGGGAGGACACAAAACAAAAAAAACCCCAAAAAAAAACAATTAGTATTCAGTTTGAAATGACACCTCAGAAATTAAGATAGATGATGGTTCCAAATTATTAAATATTAAAAAAAAGGCAAGAAAAAAAGACCAAACCAGCAGTGGTGGTAATAATAATAATAATATCAACAACAACAACTGTCACTAATACTTAAAGACTTCAGCTCTATGTGGTCCCCTCCATACCCACTACACATTTGTTTTTAAAAAGAACAGTTACATTTTTATATTATTGTTATGTTCGTGTTAACTCTGTCCTCGTCGTGCACATTCACTGGTGCACAGGCACACTTGCACTCACACGCACACACAGGTTCTCTCTATCTACACACAGGGTGAGGGTGAGGGGTGGGGTTGTGCTCATATGAGTCAGGACCAGAACATTTCGGCCAGGTTAGTGTCGGTGCTGTAGATCCAAAGAACCAGCGGGAGTGAGAGAGCCACAAAGGGCCAGGAGATGCCCTCTGTCAAGGCGCTGAGCGAGCAGGCCTTGCCCGCAGGCTTGTCCAGCTCTTTACCAGGCTCCACGTAGTTCCTGGCTACAAACTTGAGCATCTCGTCCAGCAGGATGACCGGCAGGGAAATCTTCAGCACCATCAGCCACTGGGTCACGTTCAGCGGGGTGATCTGAAAGATCATCTGAGGATGGGAAAACAAGAGAGAGGATCAGTGAAATGAGGAGGAAGGAAGACTTACTAACAAAAAAAAAAAAAAAGAAAGAAAGATAAGGGACAAAATGTCACTTTGTCAAAGTAGGCAAGATATGTTTTCACCAGAGATGGCATATGCATTAATAGGTATCTGTTGTCACCTGATATTAGCAGAAAATGCTGAATGGAATATCAGAAGGGAGAAAAAAAAGAATGAATGTGATCAAATCCTGTAACAAATCTGTCCTGAAACAGCACATGATGTGATGTGATCTGTGTAGATCCTCCTGTGGGATTAATAGAGCGACTGAGTAGTTTCAGCACATCCTACTATTAGATGGTCATCTTACGTGAAGCGCTTCAATTAAAAATAGCTCTAGTTTATTCATTTTTAAATGGCCATCCTACATTTTTCTGTCATAATTCATTTCAACAATTTCTCTGTATCCGTGAGATTTAAACAAGCTACACTATACTGCCAAAAGTATTCGCTCATCTGCCTTCACACGCAAATGAACTTGAGTGACATCCCATTCTTAATCCATAGGGTTTAATATGATGTCAGCCCACCCTTTGCAGCTATAACAGCTTCAACTCTTCTGGGAAGGCCAAACTTTACACTTGGCACAATGCAGTCAGACAAGTACCGTTCTCCTGGCAACCGCCAAACCCAGACTCGTCCATCGGATTGCCAGACGGAGAAGCGTGATTGGTCACTTCAGAGAACACATCTCCGCTGCTCTGGAGTCCAGTGGCGGCGCTTTACACCACTGCATTTGACGCTTTGCATTACGCTTGGTGATGTAAGGCTTGGATGCAGCTGCTCGGCCATGGAAACCCATTCCATGAAGCTCTCTACGCTGTTCTTGAGCTAATCTGAAGGCCACATGAAGTTTGGAGGTCTGTAGCGATTGACTGTGCAGAAAGTTGTTGATCTGTGCACTATGTGCCTCAGCATCCGCTGACCCGCTGTGTCATTTTACGTGGCCGACCACTTCGTGGCTGAGTTGCTGTCGTTCCCAATCGCTTCCACTTTGTTATAATACCACTGACAGTTGACTGTGGAATATTTAGTAGTGGGGAAATTTCAGGACTGGAGTGATTGGAACACCTGAATTCAATAATTTGGATGGGTGAGTGAATACTTTTGGAAATATAGTGTATTTTTGTTACTGTGCCTTAAGACTGAAATATGTAAATACCCTCTGTTCTGTTTGTGTCGTGCTCATTCAAAAAACAGCTTAAAGTGAAACACTACTTATAACTTAAATACGAATGGGCGGAACTACACAGCTGTAGGCTGAATAGGTTAATATATATATGTAAATCATTTCCTTTTCATGATATTTGAATTCAAAATAGGTCATTTTTGCAGCTTAGTTCCCAGTTATGGCTGAGAAGTGAACTGTATATTTTAACTACAACACTGTTTACAATTATTTCAAAATTGCAAGGAAGACTTTCATGTATCTGTATTGGGTGATACTTAAGGTTTGAAAATCATTATTGAAAATAAAAATGTGGCATCATCCCATCTCTATTTGTCATCATATATACGCTAATCTCATTAACCCACCAAAGAGTGTGCTGAGTCAAACAGCTTAAGTCGAGTGTAAATGGAGGTGCAAACAAGCATGCTAACATTCTCAGCCCAGACTCCTTTCGGTTGCTTACCGGGAGAGGCTCCACGTAGAGGATGAGGAAGTGGAGGGACATGGAGAGGCAGATGGCACCCAGCAGCCACACGTTCTCCCAGGGGGGCATACGCAGCAGAGACTGGTTCTCAGACACACTGAAACCAGTAAAAACGCCAGTCACATCAGTCAGTCGCATAATTCAGTCAATATCATAATTCAGATCTTTGATGTAAACTTTTCGAGATGTAAACAAAGTCATTCAGATTGGCTTGATTTAAAATGCTGCACAGCAGAGAAATTTCCAGCTCAGATGTCTTTACAGTGGTGGTGATGGGAACCTGGGGTTGCAATACAAACAACATCAATAAAGCCACTTATTGTCCAAACTGACCAGCGGACCACATATCTGGCCTTTTACTTTATTTCAAATCATAAAATGATGTCTCTGGCATCAGGCAGGATATTCATAACCAATTCAAGTAATACCTTTCTGTGAGGGAGCTTTAAGAGGCACTTAAGCACAACGCTTCCACTGCCTGATTCCTAACACCACCTCTGTAAACAATTCTGATTCCGTAAGTTTCTCTAGAACATCACATTTCACATATGACCACCCTGAATGGCTTTGTTTACATCTTAACTGCATTATCCACAAATTCTGAAAGACCTAAACAGCTTCTTGAGCAGGAGTATCAGATCACAGTTCTTCAAGGCTACAGCACTGCAGATTCTGTTGCTTTCTTTTACTGCTTACCTGATCATCTAATTACATTTATGGTATTTGGCAGAAGCTCCGATCCAGAGTGACTTACAATTTAATCAAGATACAGAGGAAGGCGAATGTCACATTGGGAGTGTCATTCAAAGACTCTTATCGGCGTAGCATGGTGTGGCTGTCCTTTATGACTTGGACTGGGTGTGCTACAGGAGATAAACTCTGCAGTGCAGTAACCTTCCTGGATCTAAGTGACTCCTGAGTTCTGAGATATCTGTGCCCTTCCTGCACTGACCTGTTGAGGGCGTTGCACATCTCAATGGTGACCAGCACAGACAGAGCCATGGTCATGGGGTATGGCGACTCAAACACCTCACAGTTAATGCCTACATACTCAGGGTTTTCAGGTGCACACTGGAGGAAGTGACTCTGGTGGGAGAAATCGGAGCAGCTTGAGATGTTGTGTTTGTTACTGAGATTAAGGTTCAAGCTTAGCAATTTCAGCTGCGACACACAGGTGACTGTGAAAGTCCCTTAATATGACTAGTATTGCATGAGTTGCATGCATCTTTAAAAATTGAAAGCACTAACCAGCTGGTAAAAGGTGACTCTAGGCCCGTCTTCAGCAGCAACAAACCACCATGCAGCAGCACCAACTGTGGCGGTACCAACATAGCCTGCAGAACAGAGATTTAAACTCATCACCACATCACCACAGTCTTCAATAATCCCAATAAGCCCCACCTAACAAAAAAAAACACCTCTCTAAATCAGTCTCTTCAGGGTTCCCTTCTGCTAAGGCATTAGCAGTATGGTATTGTTTAGAGGAAGACACATCCATTCCTTCCTCTTATCTGACCAGTAACAAACACAAGGGCAGCTCATTAACCTTAAATGGTTTTTGTATTCAGGGAGATACAAACCTTCATCAGGCTGTGGATGTGAGCAATGAGTGGGAGGACTTAAATTCAGTTGTAAACACTGAGAAGCAGCCTGGGTAAAGTACTCTGGTCATATACCAAAACATGTAATTTGACCAGAGGTACGCAAACTTCTGCACTGGACTGTAAATCTGCCCCCCCTATATGAACGTTTTTGTGGGTAGGAGTCCTAATGTGTTAGAAAATGGCAACAGATTAATTTCTTAAGTGCTTTAATGTTCTTGCCCATTTAAGGGTTAAGCTATTACTGAAGTAGTAATGTACTCACAGCCAATGGCCAGGTATCTGAAAAAGAGCCAGCCAGAGATGAGGGGCTCACGGGCGTTGCGAGGAGGCTTGTTCATGATGTCCAGATCAGGGGGGTTGAAGCCTAGGGCGGTAGCGGGCAGACCATCCGTCACCAGGTTCACCCACAGGAGCTGCACTGGGATCAGAGCCTCAGGGAAGCCCAACGCTGCAGTCAGGAAAATGCTGCCACACACAAATACAAAGAAAATTACATTGTAATCGGGGTAAACACACATATATATATATATAGTTTAACGATATTCAAGGAAGAGACTGAATCTTGCTAAGAAGTCTTTTGTTTTCTACAGTGCTAGTGCCAAATTTGTGTTTTCCTGACATTTATATTTCTCATACTCCCCCTATTCTGGAGAGTCTCTCAAAGCATTTAAAAGCACAGAAGCCCACCGGCTCCTCACGTCAGGGTGGCTAAAGGATCCCATGGGAGAAAAACTCTTTGTGATCATAGGAGGATAATGACATCAGCTAATGAACACAGATGTGAACAATGCTGGCCTTTAGATAACTTTTGCTAATGTTAACAGCCGAGAGGTGAACAGTCGCCCCCCTAACGGAGCTGCAGACAGCCGGTATGACTTTACTCTCTGTTTCTGGAGATTTAAATGACGTTTGAATGGAGAAACAAACGTTAAATATCAGACTGAATGTCGTGGTTCGGAAAACTACGTCGTGTTATGACAGACATGATTTTGTAAGTTTGCTAGTGCAGTTAGCTCAGAGTTCCCAGCTCCAGTCCTGTGACCCCTGCACTGCATAATTGAGGTTTCCCTGGTTAAAATACCTGATATTATTAGCCAATTAATCCCTTCTTGAGCTGAACGAGGTGTCTGGAGTGAAAACACTGAATTAAAGGTCTATAAAATGTCTCTCGTCGTTCTTGGCTTCTGTCGCGTCTTGCAGGCGAATCGTTCACAAAGCACAGCAAATTAAAGGCATCACGCAGCGCAGTCACTCCCTGATTCGGTCCTCAAAATGGCGACGACTATACAGTGTGATGTCACATGAAACGCGAGAATAGGCTTGACCTGGGCCACAGAGAATACAAGTAAATGCTTCTTCAAGAGCCGGCATAGTTAAGACAACCTTTCTTTTATGGTAGGTGAAATCCTTGCTAACACGGGAGCATGCAGTTTGTAAAAACGACTGCCATGGCAGATTCAAATGAGACTAAATACACTGAGAAACATCCAGAATAATTACATTATCACACCTTGCCATCTACAACTAATCCTGTCAGCACCTAAGACTTAAGCGCTGAACCTTCCATAATAAAGCACAAGCAATGACAATGAATGTACTGATATGTCTGCGAGGACTGTTGACGCCCAGCTCAGATCGAGGAACAGACGCTCTTACCAGACCACTTCTCCAACATTAGAAGAGATGAGGTAGCGGATGAACTGCTTCATGTTGTTGTAGATGGCTCGACCCTCCTCCACCGCCGCCACAATGGTGGCAAAGTTATCATCAGCCAGCACCATCTCAGAGGCCGTTTTCGCCACAGCCGTGCCAGAGCCCATGGCAATGCCGATCTCAGCCTTCTTCAGAGCAGGGGCGTCGTTCACACCATCACCAGTCTGAAGCAGAGAAACAGCAGAACAATAAATGACCCAGAAGTCTGGTAAACAACGCCACAGACTATTGCACTGTGTTATTATGTATAAATGATGCACATATGAGGAAGGTCAATATGAGCAAAACAATGTGTGTAAATAGGTTCAGTCAATAAGTGAACTGTACTTCAGCTAATAGTAATTTTAAAAAATGTACAAATATGGGCAGTGTGCAAAGAAAATAACTAAAAAATATGGCAACTTTAATTGACCATGATCAAGCTCATCATTATCAATATTACTTATAATCACCTCACTCATATTTCACATTGGGTTGACCAGAACTTACATTACTAGGTTAAAAACAAAGATAATTAAACACAAAAATAAATCATCTTGAGAAAAAGATCTATTACCATGGCAGTGATCTCGTCATAGGACTGCAGGTACTCCACAATCTTGGATTTGTGTGACGGTTCGACACGGGCAAAGCAGCGGGCACTCAACACAGCCTCCCGCTGGGCAGCAGGCGACAGGTCATCAAACTCGCGGCCTGTGAAGGCCATGCGTGAGACATCGTCATCCTCGCCAAAGATGCCAATGCGCCTGCAGATGGCGACAGCTGTGCCCTTGTTATCACCAGTGATCATGATAACCCTGATTCCTGCCAGACGACACAGCTTCATGGAGGCAGCTACCTCGGCCCTAGGGGGGTCCAGCATGCCCACGCAGCCCACAAAGGTCAGATCAGTCTGCAAGGGAATGATTAAACCATTGTTTTTCTGAGTTTTCTTTGTTTTGTGGTCTGCCTGCAGTAAACAAATGTTTTTCCTTGCACTTAGACATCTGACTCAACTCAATAAGGGCTTGATCAGGTACATTAGAACAGGCAGAACTTCAAACTCTACAGTAGGGGTAATCAATTCCACAGTCTAGCATATTTTAGTGATATTCCTGCTCTAAAATGTAGCGTAGGTGTATTACAGCAGGGAAATCATCAAACTGTGCTGGACTCTGAACCTCTAGAACCGCCACTCTACATGGGAGACCTCAAAATGAGAATTTAATACCACTGAATTCAACAGCCTGAATCTTTGAACACTGCAGCTGTAAGACTGAGGCTTTTTAAGAGTCTCTGACCTCATACTCCACGAAGCGGGCCGAGTCCTCCAGCACCAGGTCCTCTTTGCTGATTGGGTTGTCCCGTGTCGCCAGCGCCAGGCACCTCAGCGTATCCCTCCCTGTCCCGTATTCGCGGATCACAGACAGGATCTTCTCCTTAATACCTGGCGTCAGTGGAACCTTATTACTGCCCACACGGATGTGTGTACACCTGTCAATCACTCCCTCTGGAGCACCCTGTATGAACACAAAGAAAATCAGTAACATTCTGCCTTGTAAATCATACGAACAGAGCAGCATTTTGCCGCTGTCGGAACAAAACCTCTTATCTCCATTTCTGTCGTTTTTCAGTTTGATATGATATGAAAATGCCTGTTGCCCTTTATTTTGTGTGTAAATTTCATGACAAATGGACCAAAAGAAATGGCCTAAAATTACTTGGAAAAAGTTCTGGTTAAACTGACTTACACTAAAAGTAAAGTAAGTTTTTTTCTTTCTCTGGTAAAGTTACCATTTTGGAGATACGGTTTTGTTCCGAGAACGGCCGAGATCAGTGCAGACTGAGGGTAAGTTGATCATAGATCTGCTCTCTTATTCTCATGACCCTTATTTCACATGCCCTGCTCAAAATGTATGCAGAAATAATGCAGTTACACTGCCGGAGTGCAAAGACATCAAAGCTGGTTGCTCTGGTTACCTTGACAAACATCTTGCCAATGGAG